CTTGTGTGTGTGTGTGTGTGTGTGAGAGAGAGAGAGAGAGAGAGAGAGAGAGAGAGAGAGAGAGAGAGAGAGAGAGAATTTTAAACCCGGTTCTCAAAGTGGTGTCCTGGCATGAGACCAGTTTCATTTAATAGAGTCCAGATTGTAAATTACTAATGAAATGATATATACTTACTGGCATCATCCATAAATTCAAAGTCACCACCTAATTCTGCAGTCGTTAAGTGATACTGGCCAGGGTCTGTCAAGGCGCTCAAGATAATCAGCAGTACCACGGCATTGATGATCTGGATATAAAAAGAAAAATCAGAAGACGCAGAGAAGTACACAGTGATGCTCGCAGAAGAGACAAGAGTCCTTATCACAAGAAAGGCCTTCACTGAGCAATACTTCTTCCCAATCTTCTCCCCATTTTCAGAGGACATTCCTTAGCACCCTGCCACATGTTACATGCTTGGGGACAACAGGGGCATAGGGCAAACATGCAGAAATCCCATGCATTTACATAGCCCTGAAGATTATGAGTAACCCAGATAATGGGCAATAGCCCCAGCTGCCCTTATACTAGCAGCCATAACTTCATTCATTCATTCATTCATTCATTCATTCATTCATTCATTCATTCATCTATTTAATCTATTCTATTTTATTGTTTATTCATTGTATTTCTATACTATCCAACAGCTGAAGATCTATTAGTGCAATGGTAATCTGGCCCTTCCGAGAGCACCTAGCTGAACCTATCATTTCCAGAACTGTTTTTAACATCACATCAGCTTTTTATTATATGCTTTATTGGAGAGATCCTGCCTTGAAAGGTGGCCAATAAATAAATAAATGAAAAATGGAATCTAGCCCACTCCAAGCCATAGTCTGTGAGGTTGGCTCCACTGATCTGTCCTGTTCTGCATACACTAGTTTCCAGGGTTCCTCTAGGAAGTGCTAGCTGTCATTTCTACTGGCACAACCTAGCATTGTCTGGCTGTATCACTAGATACAGCTCAAAACCTGGTCAAACACAGGTATACCCTCTTTTATTCTTGTTCAAAAACATGCAGTGGTTTCAGAGACAAGAGCGGTTTCCCCAGTCCTGCTATCATGACTACTGTTGTGATCGCTACAGCATTTTCCCCTTGTTATTTTCCAGAGGTCAAGAAGGATATTGGAATGGCTTTCACTGGTTTGCCACTTCTTTTCACAAATGTGTGCAAGTGTTTTGGTATTTGTTGTTTTGTTTTTAACTTGGTTGGTGGTTTGGATTCATGCAGGTGTAGCACCTCCAACTACCCAAATTTGAAGCCTTGCCTAGACTTAATTTCCTAGTAAATACCTGCTATCACAGCCAGGTTTTAAATGCATTACTTTGCTCTCACTAGATGTCTGTCAAATGGTAAGCTGCCATGCACAACACAAAGGTGCAATGAGAACTTTGCTTGCAAAGAGGGGTTTGCAGCTATGTTACCCCCTTCATATTGTGCTTATTTTTGTCAGCTGTCAAGGTTTAGGGTTTATTTAGTCAGGGTTTCAGACAAAACAAAACGGTCTAAATAGGGTTTCTGACAGGGATATATACAGATTTCCTGGGAGTTGCAATTGTAGAAGGGGAGGGTTAACAAATGCTAGTTGCTACAGAATGGTACTTGAACACTTGGTGAAGCAGCTCTCACTGGTGATGAGCATGGCAATCATGACGAGAGGTTTCTGCTGCTCTTGTGCTGTGGCTTGTTGACAGGGCTACCACAATGGGGTCAGTTTCTGGGGTCTGGATGACATAACGAGAATCCATCATAGCTTGAAGAACCCCTATAGCAAGCCCTGAGTTGACATGGTTGCTTATTGAGGGAGAGCAAGCTACCCTATGGGAAGTGGTCCAAGATACAACAGCCCACAGTAGCTCACAATGGGCTGCCCTCTTGTGCAAATTAAGTGAATGGCTAGTAGTTATGACAGCTATATGCCACCTCCAGGATCAGAGGCTGCGTGCTTCAGAATACCAGGTGTTAGGAAGATAAGTGGGAGAGTGCTGTTGCATGTCATGTCCTTCCCCACTCAGCAGGGGAAGGCTTTCCAGTCCTGCTGGTGGACTCCCAAAGGCATTTGGTTGGCCAAGTGTGGGAAACAGACCTTTGGTTTGATCCAGTGGTGTTCTTCTTTTGTCCTTATTCCAGTATCCTCTGCAATATGCAGGTTCCCCTTCTATGCACATTCATGGATATATGCACATGTACAAACTCTCTCTCTCCCTCTCTCATGTGCGCACACACACAGAAATACATCTTGTCCTAATGCTAACTAGAAATAGAAGTCACCTTTAACAATAGGCTATTCATGCTGCCTCACTAATCCTGTCCATTTCCACGATAAACCCCTATTTATAGCTGATTCCATTCTAACTGACTTGGGGAAGGAGGAAATAATAATAATCCTAATTGAGATTCTTGTGACTGTTTCCAATTCACAGATTACTAATCTGGATAATGTTGATGAGCTGAAGTCCACGAGATCTCAACCGTTGCTAAGCAACCATAGCTGTGCCGGCCTCTATGATGAGGCTGAGCGAGATCTCTCAGAGCTGATTCACCCAGGCTGGTGGCTGTGGGCCAAGGACTAGCTGGCTGGCCTGAGGGTGACTGTGGCTGTACACGCTCCTATAACCCCTCTGACAAACTCAAACTATTATCATCATAATCACTCCTTTAAATCCATATATACTAAAAGCCATCAAGGCAGTGCACTGCAGCTTGTATTATGGGGCATTGGCTTTCCACACAGACACCTGCTAAAGTTCCCTCTTCTGCACAATTATTACAGGCTCCCTCTCCTCTTTTCCTTCTGAACATCCACAGTGGGAAGGGATATACACCTGCCCCCTCACACCTGCATGCACGTGTGCGCACACAGAGAGAGACAGAGAGAGACCTAGGTAGAAAGTCGTTTTGTTGTGACTGTTAAAAAACTGGGAGACAGACACCCTTACTGAACTATTGCAAATCACCCAGAGTTCTGCCAGTTGATCCCAATCTACTTTCTGCCAAGCCCTATCCTGGGTCATATTTGAGAGCAACTGGTATGATTGGTATTACATCCTTGTTGGATGCACCTTATTTATTCTTATTTATTTATTTTTCAATTTATATCCTGCCTTTTTCCTACAAAGGACTCAAGGCAGCTCACATCATTCTCCTCCTCCATCTTATCCCCACAGCAACAACCCTGTGAGGTAGGTTGGGCTGAGAGTCTGTGACTGGCCCAAAGTCACCCAGTTGGCTCCATGGCTGAGCGGGGACTAGAACCCAGATCCTCTGAGTCCCAGTCCCATGCTCTTAACCACTACACCACACTGGCTCTCACAATTTCTCTTATTAGAGAAATTCTACTACGTTTTGTTGCAGAGAAGTATTTCACCTTCGTACAATAAGCAGATTGTTTTCTGGAAGCTTCTCTTTGAAATGGCAGGCTGGGAAACTTACTCACAAGTAGTTCTGCTTAAAAGTATGCATTCCAGCTTATTTGAAATAGGACGCTGAGAACTTGCCTGCCAGAAAAACTGAATCTATTGCTTGATATACAGCAGGGTACAATGCTTTACTTGAAAATAGTTTGTGTTGTGCTTTGATATTGATTTCCACACATGTACAGAACAATAGAGCTGAATGCTACTCAGGATTGTAGCAACATCTTGTCCAGAAGAATTTGTAAGCTTCAAGGTGTTGCCAGATTAAATAATGTTAATATGCCACAATTTCCATAGTGGCATATCTTAGCAAATAGCTATAAACAGAAAAAAGCAACCTGCTGTTCACCAAATGGTTTCAGAAATGGAGGAGGAAGAAAGATAAATCAAAGGCAGAAAGAGCAGACACAAGCACATAAGCAAACAAGCAGGCAGACGGTATTAGCACATAATGGATTAAAGGATGCTGACTGACCCAAAGGATGCTGAATGTTCTGTCTGCCTGCTAGGCAAAATAAGGTGACATGCTGTGGTTATGTAAAGAAGAAGGCTGAGCAAATCGCTTAGCATGTAGTTCAGCACTTCCATTCATCTGCTGCAAAATGCTGAACTCACAAATCTGCAATAAATAACCATCTCATAATTCCCACTATGGGATGTGCACGGTGATAGGTCATTGCTGGGTCTGCATGACTTGCTAAGCCACAGTGGCTATGACGCCGCTATTGCTTAGTGTACTGTCTGAACCCAGTGTGCTTCCTACAGGGTGGTTTGTTTGTGGCTATGAAGCTATGCCCATAAGCCATGGCTTGTGGAGTTTGCTCAACATTCTGCGATTTGGGGTGCTGTCTGCCTAGTAAGTTGTGTGGCAAGAGCAGTGAAAACCTGTTGCCACCCTCGTTTCACAGACAGACTTGCTTTTTGAGGTTTGCCTAGTGACAGATTGCGCTGCATCTGCTGAAGTCCGCCTTCTGTCCCAAACCCTGCAACGAGGCAGCCCACACGCCTTTCCTGTCTTGCTTCACAGCAAAGTGCTTCTCGGCCACCACTTTTCTCCCACTGCAGGTTATCTGCACACCAGGCACAAGCAGGTTGATGGGAAAAGCTCCCTGGATGATCCAGCAAGCACTGGTGCTGAGAGTGGTACTTCCATGGAGATGAAGATGGGAATGGCAGATCCCAGGGGAGGGAATCTGATGGTGGTGTCAGGGGAAAGCAGAAACCCCAAGATGGCGGGGGAGGTTGAGAGAACACAGACAGGTATGCAGGCTGCTTGAGCAAGGGTTTTGGTGGAAAAGTGCTAGTGGGGGATCAGTCCAGAAAAATAACCCTGGGAGGGAAACATAACCAGCTTGTGAAGCCAACCAATAGAGAGAGAGAGAGAGAGAGAAAGGTAGCAGTGTAGCAGCGATGGACCAACGAAGATGAAGTGGTGATGAAGCAGTGATTCAACTGACCAAGTGACACTGATTCTGCTGCGAAGATGCCTGGGATAAGTGATGCTGCCCAGTGGGGTCTGGGGGGGAGAGAGGGGGAAGGAAGCAGAAAACAAACCCGGGGCTAAACAAGCCTGTTGGATGTTCCTACAAAGAAACTATGCTGTGTAGCTTAGCAGCCTTGCAGGTTTGCTCTCTCATGTGAACCCTCCCTCTGTCTCCGGTTTGGTTTGTCAGTCACACTGCATTCTGATGGGGAAAGCGGGGTGATGTGGAGGGGGGGGGAGGGACCAAATAAACAGAATCCAGCCTTGGGGAGAAATTTGACAAGTTTGGGGTAGACAGTTAAGTCTTCAACAGTGGCCAAAGACAAGTGAAAAATAGGCATCTCAGTTTT